AATGGAAACTACACTAATGGATTCAAACATACCTGGACAAGAACTGTCAGGAAGATGCACAAGAATTACTTCTAGGATAGAAATACATTTCGAAAGAAATCCGTAAATGCAGCTTATTGTAAGGGGTTAAATTCTGTCTGCAATATCATAGTCTAAAAAAAAAATTAGTTTAAAACATAAAGAGTCGATTAAGACCGACTTCGAAAAAAATATATATGTTATGCACCACTCCTTTTAGAACTTAATTTTAATTAAGACGCCTGCGTTACAAATTCTATCATTCCGGCTCAAAAAGACAAAAAGTCTTTAGATATAAAATCTCTACCAGGATTAACCCTGATAATTGAATAGTCACAATAAAGTTGACTACAGAAAACATACATAAAATAATGGTAGAAGAATACAGGTAGTCGAATCGACACAGCTGCTGAGGCAATGAACTGTCAAATCAATTTTGAAATTTTTGAATGAAAAATTATTCAAATTCGTTAAAATTGTTGAAAAATGCATATCATAAGAACCCTTCTTATAAAAATCTACTTATTTTGAAAAAAAAAAAATCATTTTAGAAAATTTGACATATCAATTTCCTAAGCGTTGATTCATCTACATGTGTTCTTCTAAGATACATAAAGTAATAATATTAAAATTGTTAAATAATTCATTTTCAACAATCTTTACAGATATTAATAATTTCTCATTCAAAATTAGTTTAACAGTTCATTGCCATAGCAGCTGCGTCGATGAGACTACCTTTATTCTTCTAACATCAGTACAGTTGACTGTACCATGATAATTAATTAAAAAAGAACAATTTTGAAATTGATTTTGAGAGGAATTATGTTAATAAAAGGCGTTTAAACTCATTTATTTATGTAATTTATTGTAACAACTTGCTAATGCGCGAGCCTAACACATCTTTCTTGCCACCTAGTTTTGACATTTTGCTAGCTTCTCGTTTCCGTACTATCTCGGGAAAGTAGTTCTACCAGGGCAAATTTACAAATGTTCTCTTATACAAGATTTATCTTGAAAAAAGTACGGAATGAAAAGAACTGTTTATTACATTTATGTGCGAATTTTGAATGGCACAATCAGCAGTTACTGGATTTATCAAAACACTTATGTGATTGAAATCACGGTAGGAAAAATTAACAAACAGTAAGCAAAACATAAACAAATTTTGAAATGTCGTTTATTTCGGTCGCTAATAGTGCATACAGAAATAGAACTTCACAAGATCGGATTAAACCTTTTGTTCATACTCGAAACTTGCAAAACGAAAAACGATTTATTTGTTCCACAGCATATTTTTTTTTACTTATTGGATAGATGTAATAATCGGGCTAATAGTACGTTTATATATATGAGGGTTAACCCACTGGATTTGGATTTAAATTGTCATATCCATTACTTTTACTTCAAATAAATCCTCTCAAAGAAGGTTAACCCTACAAAAAGTTCTAACGTAAACATGGCATAAGAGTTACCCCACTGGATCTAATAAACCCAGTCGGATAATCTTCAGTAGTATAAATGTTCTATAATAGGGTTTTGTAAATCCTCTTCATAGCTATTCGTTCTGCTTTCATGACCTGTTCAGTGGGTTTTGCTTGTTCCTTTCTACAAGATGGAACTAGTTCACCTTAATTAATTTTTTTTTTAATTTTTTTTAGTTAAAGAAACTCCAAATGAAAAATGAATGTTGAAATAAAATGAAAAAGAAAGAAAGAGGTTTTGCCCACATTATTTTACACAATTTATAATTACGAAAATTGTATTATCTGCTGAATGACAGAACTTCATAACGAACCATTGAACTAATGAAAGCCCTTATTCACTTAAATGAACTATCCACTAAAGGAAGGTGAAAATACAATGCTGTCGGGTCAAAATACAAAATCTTGACCTGGGATAAACGTGATTATTGGCCATTCAACCAATTCTATTGTGATTTCATTCTCAAGGTTTATCCAGACAAAGACTTGTATGTAAACCCTTGATACTCAAAACAGTACGCATGGTAGAAGAATATAGGTAGTCCCATCGACTCAGCTACTGGGTCAATGAACTCTCAAACCAACTTTTGGAATTGATGATTTTGAATGAAAATGTTTCAAATATGTAAAAATTATTTAAAAACTGTATATTTTAACAACCTCCGATAGGTGTCGTATAAACATATAAAAACCGACTTATTTAAAAAAAAATTGACAATGTTCCCAAGCGTTGATGCAACTAACTGTATTATTCTACCATGACAGTACGTGAGCTTTGATGTCTCTTAAGTTCGTTCTCTTCAGCTCCTTGTTAGAACTACGAGAAATGGAAAAAAGTCATAATTTTCTTAAGTTTTTGTAATTAAAATTTATTTCAGAATTCATTTGATTAATTTATGTTTTTAATGATTAAAATAAAAAGAAAACACAGCAACAACTTTTTAGAAATATTTACGAGAATTTAACACTTTCTCACCGGTTGTCTCTATAAAAGAGATATATAGAGAGATGTGAGAGCACTACTTTGCCTAGAAACTAGCGAAAAGGCCGTTTTGCTCTTTTTTTCATTTCATTTTTTTCATTAAAGCTGAGCAAAGTCATATATAGAGATTGTTTAAGAGAAAATAAAAATTGTAATTTTTATTATATTTTAATATTTTCTCAACTTTTTTAAACATGTGCGTTGTCTAAAATGTATGCTGATGTTAATAACTCAACGAATTAAATGAATAATTCGTAGAAATTGTTTGGTTGCTTAGCAAAATCAAAGTCTGACAACCATGCTGCAAATCTTTTCGCGCCGTTTTGCTCTTTTTTTCATTAAAGCTGAGCAAAGTCATATAAAGAGATTGTTTAAGAGAAAATAAAAATTGTAATGTTTATAATATTTTAATATTTTTCAACGTTTTTAAACATGGGCGTTGTCTAAAATGTATGCTGATGTTAATAACTCAACGAATTAAATGAATAATTCGTAGAAATTGTTTGGTTGCTTAGCAAAAATTAAAAGAAATGGTCTGCGTGCGCTAGAATACTTTTTTGCTATGTTTTTTCGGGTGAATTATGTGAATTCACTTGCGACTTGGGGTTGCTCCTCCGCGACGCATTTAAACTAAATCCGGTAATTAAAATATTGAAAGCACGTTTACATTGTTGCAAATTGTTACAGACACACACTGTTAATGCAAAAGAGAGCGATTTTACAGAATAATTTTGACAGTTCTTTCACTGCGAGTTTACAAATTCTTGCTGGACAAGTTTCTTGTTGCAATCACTTGAAACTCTTCTTCTTCTCCTTCTGGTGATTTATATTTGGACAAGCAATTTAAAAACAGCTCTAATTTGGAAATCGCAAGCGTATTTTTTGGTCCATTTTTAATATCTGCATGATTAATTCTGTTTATGATGCACTAAATGTTTTGTTTTGAGAAATCAGCTGATTGCTTGCAAGTTTTTGCAGGGATTCTGTCTGTTTGTTTTTCAAACTACCTTGCTCTACCAGAAAGAAATTGCTCTGGATAATTCCTGCAGGAAAAGTAACCAGACACACCTATGGTTGGATAAATCCGGAATAGGAAAACTAACAGTACGTTTACATATAAAAGGGTTAACTCACTGGATTTGGATTAAAATTGTCATATCCATTACTTATACTTCAAATAAATCCTTTTAAAGTAGGTTAACCCTACAAAAAGTTCTAACATAAACATTAATATAAATTATTGTTAATCCTATACCTCTCAATTCACAGGTGTAAAGTATAGTTGAATAATAGAACGTTTAGGTTGAAAGAGATTTAGGAAATCACATGGCAAAATCATGGCACAATTAAATTTAGCTTATTTCAAAAACATAATACCCAGCTCTAAATTTTTTATTTCAAATTTAACTGATTTTCATCTCTGATTTGTGTATGTAAAATGGATTAATAAATAATAAACATTTTGAAAATAAGATGTTGTCAAATGTAAAATTTTGAAAAAAAAAAATGAAAACTTTACCTTTTAAATTTTACCAGGGGCAGAATAAGTAAATTAAAATCGGGCTAAAGGTGAGAGTACATAAACAGCTTGAAGTCTTCGCATGGCATATTTTGTAACATATCATAAATGGATGCCAGAGTCGCACTCAAATTCTTCCGTCGTTTCCCTTCATAATTTGACGTTATAAAGAGAATAGTCTCCAATAGGAAAATGATTCTTATAATTTGATTTTCCCTGATAAATAGTTTGACTCAGGCGCGAATGTTAACTAATTTCAATTTATTCAATTTTCAAGAGAATTTGATTAGAATGTAAACAAACAATTTTTTTCTTTTCAATCTTAAATAATACATATACCCATAGTTGTATTTGACAAGCTCGAACACTGACTGAAACAGAGTTGCCTCTGAATTCTTGATGTGAAACTACCTTTCTAATTTCGCTCTTGGCGAATTTAAATTGTCAATTCCATTGCATATTCCTCAAAACAACATGCCCTAACTCGTTTTTAAAGTTTTCAACCCTAATAAAATTACCAATTTTGATTTATGAACTTATTCATCTTCAATGCTGGCCAATTAATTTGGACTGTTGCCAAATTTCGAATTGCTGTCAGGAAAAGCTAGTTGAAAAAAGAAAACTTTAAAATAGAGAGCTAAGAAAGCAAACAGTTTGAATGTCATAGAAATAGCGGTAGTTAGCACTTGAAGAAAATGTGGTGGTAGTAGTAGTAGTAGAAGTAGAATTAAAGAGAACAGAGAAATACATAGGAGTGGTGGTAGTGGTGATGAAAATAAAATTAAATGCGTTTGTTGTTGTTTTTTGGTTTGTATATATCATTAAATTTTTATTAGTATTATAATTATTCATTTTTTTGGTAATAAATGTTTCTTTTTTAGTTTTATTAATTTTTATATATGAACTTGGACTAATTTATCAACAATTTCTTATGCAATTTTTCAACGGTTTAAAACTCTAAAACTCCATAACAATTTTTTTATATTAATTATACTTATAAGTTGTTGTTTTTTTGGTTTTAATTTAGATATATAAGTTTTTTGGTTTTTAATAATTTTTTTATGTAATTTTGTTTTTTTTCTTGTTCTTGTTCTACTTAAAGCATTACCATTTTTTGTTTGTTTTGTTGTTGTTTTTTTACTTTCATTCCTTATAGTTGTTTATATTAATAATATTATTCAAAGAGGGGGGAGGGGAAAAAAGTAATAGTTGTTTTTGTTTGGTTTCATAGTGAGTTAATTTTTGTTTTTTTTTTCTCTTAGTTGTTTTATAAAATGAAAAACATAATATGTTAACAAATTTTATATATATTATTTTTGGTTTTGGTTTATATATAAGAATTTTGGTTTTATGTTTATATAAATATTAACAGGAAAAAAGTATGCTGTGTTATATTTTGGTAATTTATATTTCTCATTATCAAGTTAATAATTTTTTTCAGAAGATTCTTTTTTTTTGGTTTTAGAGGAGCAAAAAGGATATGTTTTAAAAATGTGTGAGTTTTTTTGTTGTTGTTGTCGTTATTATTATTTTAATGTTATATGTATGTTTAAATGTTTTAAATTTTGTAATTTTAGTTGTTGTTTAGTTGTTTTTTTTCTTTGGTAAGTATTAGTATTATAATGATGTTTTGTTAATAATTAATATGTATGATTAGGTTATGTTGATGTTGTTTGTGTATTTGTATTATTTAATATTATTATTATTCGTTGGAAGATTATGCTTTATGATTTGAAAGGATGACGTAAAAATGAAAAAGAAAATAATGACACAACTAACCCAGGGTTTACAAACGACAAGACAAAGGAAAATGGTTTGTCTGAATGACGTAGTCGTCCAGACATATCCAAACCCAGTCATAAATTAATAAATGAAAATTAAAGAATTTTAGTTTTTTATCTCTTAGGGGTTTAATTGTTATCCTCCTATTTGTATATAAAGTCAAAATTTGTTCATCTTTTTGCATTTGAAAAATACCCAAGAGTAAGGAAACAGTCGGTCCAGTATGAAGTAGTAAAATACAACTATGTTTCAAGATAAACTCCTGCTAAACAGCAACTTTGTAAATAAAAGATTTGCCTTTTCATTTCCGACGTTTAAGTGTATTTACATACAAAGCTTTATCGGGGCTAACTATGTAAAACATACATAAAATTTGTTGTGACTGATCAAATGTCATGGTTAATCGAGTTGGGCCGGTGATCAGAATTATTAATCAGAACGATTACATAATATGGAGTAGAATTGAGCGCTGGTCTTGTTTTCTAATGAAAAAATATAGTTGAAATCGACACAACGTATTATAATTCTATTTCTGCGTTGAAGTTAAGAAGAATTGCAATTTAGTTGTCACCATACTCGAAAAGGTTGCCTAACAATGATAGAATAATTTAAACCTTTGGGACATATGAATTGTAATTTTTAACAACCGCTCCCATCTCCAAAAATGTTTTGGCCCATATTATTAGTGGTTTGAACGCCATACTTTCAGGTTGAAATACATGGTAGAAGAATATAGGTAGTCGCATTGTAACAACTGTTGGGACAATGAACTGTCAAACCAATTTTGAAATTTAAAATTCATAATGAAAAATTACTTAAATTGGTAAAAATTGTTGAAAAATGCATATCATAACAACCTCCGATTGGTGTCGTATAGGGATGCTTATACAAATCTACTTATTTTTGAAAAAAAAACCTTTTTAAATATTTTACATATCAATGTTCCTATGCGTTGATGCATCTACCTATATTCTTGTACCATGTTGAAAAATTTAAAAAAACTAGGGAAATGTAGGTCGACTTTCGATTAATCGATTTTTGGCGTTGGAAAGCTTAAAAGTAAAATTTCACTTTTGCTTTCGGAACACTCTCAGTGAATTAACTGTCAAAATTGTTCTATCAAATCACTCTCTTTTGCAGATCTTTTGTGTTAACAGACTAGACTTCCAGTAACAATTTGCAACAATTGTTACAAATTTTACGGTAACCAGACACACCTAATAATGTAAATTTTGGGGACATATGAATCGTAATTTTTAACGTCCACTACCCTCTCCAAAAAGGTTATGACTCATATTAGACAAAATGTAGTAATTTGGTTTGGATATAAATATTATGAAAAGTAGGGAAACGTAGGCCGACTTTCGATTAATTGACTTTTGGCGTTAGAACTCTTAAAAGTAGAAGTTCACTTTTACTTGTGGTAAAAAGAATGTAAACTCGATCTTTTGTGATGTAAAGATTATTGGTGGAACTACACATGAAATTATTTTAAACCGAAATAGATTTTAGTTGGAAAGTCAAAATCTAATTGTATCATTGAAAAAACCTAAGAGTTCAGTTAAAGGAAGAGTTCAGTTAAAGGAAGGCAAAAAATGATGTAAAAATCGAAATTGTATCCTTGAGAGATTGAAAAAAAATACTGAAAAGTTCAGTTAGAAGACAACAAAGTCGGTTTTTGTTTTCGACTACGTTACCTCTTTTCCGTAAGCTTTATGGCTTTTATACAAAATTTATAATCCCACTGAATTCAACTGGAAGAATAGAGGTAGTCGCATCGATACAGCTGCGGGGACAATGAACGGCCAAAGCAATTTTGGAATGGTAATTGTTGAATAAAAAATTATTCAAATTTGTAAAAATGGTTAAGAAATGCATATCATAACAACCTCCGATTGGCGTCGTATAGGAAAACATATACAAATTCACTTATTTTTCAAGAAACATACACAATTTTTGATATATCAATGTTTCCAAGCGTTGATGCATCTACCTGTATTCTTCTACCATGTGGCAATTCTATTGCGTACATGTCAAGTGACCTCTCATGGTAAAATAATATAGGTCAAACCAATTTTGGAATTTTGAATGAAAAATTATTTAAATTTGCAAAAATTGTTGAAAAACGCGGATTATAATAACCTCCGAATGAGGTCGTATAGGAAAACATATATATAAATCTACTTATATTTGAAAAAACATTTAAAATTTTTTTGACATATCAATGTTCCCAAGAGTTGATGCATCTACCTGTATTTTTCTACCATGTGACCTCTACTGGATTTAAGATTGTACAGTTGATAACTGTAATGTAAACAGGGCATAAGAAGCCGTAATGTGAACTTGTGTCGTTAAAAGTCTATAGGTGAGTATACATAAGCTGCTTGAAGTTTTTGCATGGCACATTTTGTGACATATCGTAAAGATAATTGGCATTAATATGACTAGCTGGCATGCCAAGTTTCTTATGTACCCTCACCTTAAAGGGTACAATAAATCAAAGCTTTAATCGTGACTTCGGCGTAAAAATACAACACTATTGCAATTTGTTACATCGTTGCAACAGCCTTGTAGCTGACAACAGCGTTGTATTTTCAGGCCGAAGTCACGATTTAAGCTTTCATTAGTTTCAGCCTTAACAGTGTCATTAAATAAACATTTTCAAATAAAAAAATTGAAAAAAAATCTTTTCTTTAAATGTAATGTAAGTATACTTTACATGTTTTTGTTTAGTGAATTATTAGTTTTAGTTTGATCTTAAGTAGTAGTAATACGTATGTATCTCATATTATTTGGTTTTAGCTTAAAAGAATTGTGTTTTTTCTTGGTTTGTTAATTATTTATGTATATAGTACGTTGTAGTTGTTAAGTTTTTTTTTGTTATTGATGTATTTTGGGTTTTGTTTTGAAGAGTTTAGTTTTGTGGTGTGAATTTATTATAAATATTTGTTTTGTTTAGTTAGTATTAATTGTTTTCTTTGTTATATTTACTTGTTTTTTGTTACTGTTATTATTTGTTGATGTAAATTATTGCTTTCATATAATTCATTTCTGTTTAGTTTTTTTTTATTAAATTATACTGATGTCTTTGGTTATTATTTTTAATTTTTTTTCTTGGTTTGTTATTAATTGTTAAATGCCTATGTTCTTTTTTATGGTTTATTTTGTTTTCGTTTTAATGTTATAAGAAATTTATCTATTTGTTTTTGTTATTTAATTTAGCTGTGTTTGGTATTGAAATTTGTTTGTTTAATGCCCTTCTCTTAATTTTGTTAATTATATTGTGTGTGTGTCTGTCATGTTTGTACAACTTTTTTCCTCTTTTATTGCTCTTTATGTGGATATAACTCTTCTCTTGAATAAACGAGTTAAAGATCTCTGATTTCTTTGAAGATGCTCTTCGTATGTCCCACATTTTTTGTTAAGAGATTGAGAATCTCTACTCTTCCACATCGCTCTTTAGATTTGTTGTTAGGAGTGCACGAAAGAGTTTTAGAGAACAACATTTGTTTTTGAAGGAAGAGAGTCTTTGAGTTAGAGATAGTTAGAGACACAGAGTTGTTTTGACAAAGTCTAGGAGAAATAAAAAACATAAATGATTTAGGTAAAGCTTTAAGTCGTAATTGTTTTTATTTTTCTGGGTTGATTGATTGGTGAGATTTCTTATTATGTTTTTTTGTTTGTTTTTTCTTTAATAGCTTTCTTCGAGTATTATAATTCGTTTTGCTGCTTTTTTGGAGTTTTTCTTTGGTTTGAACTTATAAAGCTAAGATTATATAAGTTTTTTATATATAAGAGAAATAGAGAAAGAGAGATTTAGAGAAAAGTCATTGTAGAGATATGGAAAACATAACAAAGCAACTTAAGTTTAACATTTTTTGTAGTTATAAGTTAAAATAGTTATTTTTTTTTCTAATATGTGTAAGATATTTTCCCCGCAGATAGTTTTTGCAAAAATATGATGAAAAGAAAAATAATCATAATATGATTTGAAGTAACATAGTATTTTAGAAAAGAAAATTTAGTTAAAAAATTATATTTAAAAAATTAAATGAATTTTAAAAAAATGGTTTTTAGGTTACGAAATCGTGTCTAAGAATCCATAACCTTTTCCGGATTATTGACTATGATAGAATTTTAAAAGCAGAAACATTAAAATGTTGTGCCATTTGAAATTATTTACCCAGTTTAACTGTGATAATTGACCAATCACAATAAATTGAACATATGTATGTTTTCCATAGTCAGAATTATTATTCGTCAATTACGGCAATTAACCCTTATCTGGGTTTGTATTTGCACCACCCAGATCTCAGTTGTACCATAACTGCTTTGGTTTATTGCGGCACCTCTCGTTCTTAAGCTGCATTGGGAGGCAGATTATCTCCGAGTATGGTATTCACTCTGTATTCTGCTAGAATTGCTGTGATTGCGTCAGAGTGAGTACTAATTCTTGCTTGATAGACCTTTTGGTTTAGAGGTCTCTCTTATATCTCTTCAGATCATTCTCTAGATAGTCCTGTTGATTTAGAAGCTCTTTCTTATATCTCTTCACCTCTTTCTTTGGTCATGAAGGTCTTTATCTACTTGCCTGGGCGGAGGTTGCCACCAGATGGTGATTGGGATGTTTGTGTTTATAACACATATGACATTGACAGGATTTTATTATACTGCCCCAACGGTAAGACCTTAGCTTCCTCACGTAGATGGTCAATGCGTGTCATGGTCTGACGTTGGAGGACCAGACTGGGTCCGCACAGCCTACCACAGACCGTCGAGTTGTAAGAGGACAACAAGTTTTCTTGATCGGCTGAGAGACTTGAAAACCTGGTTCCTACTTCTAAGCTTGTCGTACATAGGAAGGGTATGCGCGGACAACTAAAGAAGACTGACGAATGTGATCCCTAAGACCTTGGGGTAATTGGTGGTTGGGATTATCTCTGCTATTCATATGGTGAAAAAAGCGGCTGTCGATTCGTGCAGGATATTTTCATATTCCTCGAAATGAAAAAGGCGTTAAGATCGACTAAGTAATGATTCAACCTATCGCAGATGTCATCAATAATGAGTCCCGACGCCACGAGCGCACAATCACACAAACACACACAACCGCGTGCGTCAACTCAATGCCGTCTGGAGGGTATGTAAAACCATTCCGGAGATATCACCCTACCTTGGGGAACTCCCTGTTTAACTCTACGGATATTCGAATACCTGAAATAAAACCTGATTTCCCAGCAGAGGATTGACAAATGAGTTTCGTTCTACTAACCATAAATCCCAGAGCCAGCAAACTAATTCTGGAGGTAAACAGATTAGTTGGCGAGCATATGCGCATAAAGTGGCTAGAACATCTGAAGTACAACAACATCAGTACAGGATCCAGTAAATTGTAGGCAACGGTCGGACATTAGTCTCATTCAACGGCAAATGTCGTAACCTAGCAATTCATTTATTAGGCTCAGATCATCCCACATTATCGTCGTCATTAACTGGCCACCCGACTTCATAGACTCGGAACACCGTACTTTCCTTAACCATGGAAAAGCTTATTGACAAGAATTTAGAGGGTATACAGATCGCCGCTTCAGAGGACTATCCAATCAATACGCTCTTTATGTGTCAGATAGGTGTTTCCGGGACATAATACAAAGCTGCTGCCGCTCGTTATATACCTGCTGGTCATATACCTGAAATAGCACCTAATTTACCAGCAGAGGCAGCGGGGCTAGTAAATGAGCGAAATGAGTTTCGATGTACTAATCCTAATAATCCCAGAGTCTGGGAACTAATTCTGAAAGTAAACATGTTAGTTGGCGCGCATAAGCAAAAAAGTGGCTAGAACATCTGAAGTACTACACAATCAGTACCGGATCGAGTAAATTGTGGGCAACGGTTAAGGTGCTCTCGAACCAAGAAAAAAAGATTGATCGGACAACAGTCTCATTTAAATGCGTAGAAGTGATAGATGCAATGAGGTGCCGAGTTATTTTAAGGGCCATTTTGAGAGCACCCCGAGAGTGACAGGGCTAAGAAAAGAATCCTAGGCCTTGTACGAATTCTCCCAGCCGAGGAGGTACCACCCCAAGAAGATGTTGATGGAAGTTGTTGTACGTGTCATCAGAAGCGCAAAGTCACCCAAAACCCTTGGTTTCTGACGGAATCTCTATGGTGATCCGATGAGATGCGTGAGTTATTTTAACTGACAATTTATAGAGAACCCCAAAACAGTGCTAAGAGGGGGATCGTACACCGTGTACGAACTCTCCCAGTCGAGGAAGTACCATTTCCATCTTACGTTGGAAGATGTTGCACTTGTCATCTGAACTGCAAAGTCATCCAAAATGCTTTTTCCTGGCGGAATCTCTATGGTGCTGTTGAAGCAACTGAATGAATCAGCTTTTGATTATCCAACCAAACACCTTAACCTGTTGTTAGCTACCCTAATCATTCCCGATGCTTGTAAAATGGGCAGGGTGGTCCACTTCCGAAGCCAGGTTAGGACGCCAGCAAAAGAGATTCATACAGGCCGATATCATTTTTGTCGGCAGTAGCAAAGATGCTCGAGGCACTACTCCCTCCCCAGCATAAGAGAGTGTTTTCCAGTAGCTGATCACCAAAACGGATTCCGGAATTTTCATAGCTCAACAAGAGCTTTATACACCATTTCCACACATACAGAACAGTTATGGTGGCACTTGATTTATGAAAAGCTTTTGATACTGTCAATCACGCCATACTGTTTTAGGACATTGTGCACACCGCCCTCCGGGCAAGTTTGAAACGTTGACTTGTCAGCTACTCACAATCGCAGGTTTTTCGTGGTGATTTACACGACCTGTTTAATGGATCTTATAGCGAGTTCATACGAGATTCTTATCGGATTAATCCCAATAATAAATTTAACGAATATTTTCCTTGTAAAATTTACAATGATTGTTTAATTAAAAGGATTAATCCGGATACAGATTAGTATGTAAATATACTTTAAGATTCAGAAAAGTCCGTCAAGAGAGAGAGAGAGAGTGGGAGTACAGTATTCGTTAAAAAGAGATAGAAATTGAAGAAAAAATAAAGACATTTTGAGAAGACGGTATCGTTAAAGAACTAGAATTGGAAACTAAAAGTATAAAAGAACAATTATTATTTGTTTAACTTTCTTAAAGAATATATAAAAGGCTCTAAAAAGTGGTTAACAAATAAAAATCAATAATATAAACAATTATAACAATTTCTCTTCTTGTGGTAATATTTTTTTTTTTTGGTTTTCAATTTTAATGAGCACTTTAGCGTTGTAAATAACGCATTTTCTTATATACTTTTTTGTTAGTTTTGTCTTGTTTTCTTTACTTATCTTTTTTTGTAGTTTTTGGTAATTAATATATCATTAAATAATTTCTTTTATCTAAATGTTGTTTTTCTGCTTTTTATCCTTATTTGGTTTTGTGTTGCTAAAGTACAATACATTCTTTCCGATTTTTTTTCAAGGGGAATTGTTTTTTTTTTGTTGTTGTTCTTGTTTGGATTTTCTTTTTTTTTTAGCTTGTTACGAGTTCGTCGTTATCCATCTTATATATTGATTTTAATTTAGCTAAGATTTTGTTTTCGAATTTTGTTGTTGTTTGTTGTGGTTGTTCTTGTTTAATAAATTTCCTTAATAAACTTACTTAAAAATTATTAACAATTTTCTTATCATATATACTTTTGGTTTTTGTTTAGTTTCTTAATTGTTTTATGTTCTCTTATATATCTTGTGTTTTGTTTTTAATTTTGTATATAAAGTTGTTGTTGTTGTTGCTTGGTTATTTTGTTGTTATTTTTTTCTGTTTTTATTTTTTCTTCTTCTTTTTCATTTATTTGGAAATGTTCCTTTCTGTTTTTTTTCTTTTGTGGTTATTTGTTTGGTTTGTCTTCCTGTCATTCTGCTCCATCTGCTGTTGACATTTTACACTGGACATGTTATTACATCGTATTCAAACATTAACGAAACGGCAACAAAAACAAAATATAACAAAAACATTGTAAAACCTAAACCTTTGTTCATGCGCCAATGGAAGCAGGCAATTGACATAACGACAAATAGCAACATCATAAACAATATCGTTATGGAACACACCATGCCCACCGAGTTCACTTCGACCGGTGCATCGTAAATAATGCCATAGAGTAGCCAAGGAATAGGTAAACTGTAAGAAAAAAACAGAAGGGGGAAAATACAAGTTAGAGAAAATATTAAAAATAGTAATATATAATATAGTATTAAAACGGGTTACCGGAGATGGTCTAAATAAAATTTTTTAGGGTCTCGACAGTAGTAAAATTGTAAACGTCGAAAACGTCATATATATCTATCTATAGTCAATAGCAGACCGCTTGAATGAAGGAACGAGTACCCATTCAATGTTGTCTATTCCATGTGTGAATAGATGAGAACTATTGTATGGCTGCGATTAGGTTAAGTACAGATTATTTTAAGCTTAAGTGAAAATATTTATCAATAAAATCAAAATTGGAACTGAACCCGGACCAAGCGGTTATTTCATTACATGGTAGAAAAAGAATATAGGTAGATGCATCAACGCTTGGGAACATTGATATGTCAAAGATTTGTAAATGTTTTATTAAAAATAAGTAGATTTTTAAACGTATTTTTAATAGGAGGTTGTTGTAATATGCATTTTTCAATTCTTTTTACAAATTTCAATAATATTTTATTCAACATTTTCAATTCCAAAACCAGTTTGACAGTTCATTGTAAAAGCAGCTGTATCGATGCGACTACCTGCATTCTTCTACCACGTTTTATTATAAAGGCCCTATAATACTAAGTAATAAAATTAATGCACGCCATCTACCAAATGTACCGTACACTGCTTGATATGTGTTTCTTGTAAATATTAAGAAATTGAAAAAAAAAAAAAAACAGAGCTGGAGAAGCAAATAGAGGGTGAGATAAAAAAAACTGCAACAAAGTCAAACGCCATAATTTTTACATTTTTTTTATAAATTTTATTGAACGGAAGCAAAAAATGTCGGAAATACCAATCACATTTTAGAATAAGATTAATTTGTTCGATTTGGTCACATTTGGCACGAATTATGGACTTATGAAAGCGTCACACGCTGTCCGAATGTTGTTCTGCGGTAATTTGGCCCATTCCCGGCGAAGCGCTTGCTTGAGGTGATCGACACTTTGGTATGTTTTTTAGTGGCAACCTTGCTTTCCAAAATACTCCAGACACAATAGTCCAACGGAAAGCTGGACAACTAAAGTTTTCCCATCAGAGGAAACCAAATTCGGCAGCTGTTTAGCTCTTTTGAGTCTATTTTCTTTCGGTTGCGGTGTAAGTTCTTGCACTTTTTGAAATTCAATGGCGATATGCTTGAATGGAATATTGCGATATGCTTAGCTCACGAACCATTTTCGGCTACTGCGACGTGGGTTTCGAAAACACAAAATATTTAATGTGATGTCAGTTCTCCTACCAGGTTTAGTTCTTATGAGCTCGAACAAGGGCGTCTTAGTTACGAACAGATTGGAGCGGAATAGTGTGTTCAACCGTCTCTGGCGATCTTCGAATTCCTCGCGGACAAAAAACTGGCTAAGGGGGTGTTCCCCAAAAAAACAAGAAAGAAATAAAGATGAATGATGGAATGGTACGGCGCAGGGCCTAAATAACCCAGTACCGTCGGGTGTTTGTGATCCAGCCACGAGTCATACGAGTCACTCGCCCTTGATCGAGAGCAAATTTCTCGCGCAGATGTGGGAGCCTTGGCATCTGTGGTCGAAAGTATTGCTACAGGCACACAGCCTTCGGGCAAAAAAAAAGGCAAAGAGTCTAGGAACTCCGGGGAAGCGCTCGACACGGCCTCCAACGTCAGGTACTGCCTCAGACTTCAAATCTGACAGCACCAGCAAAAATACTACCGTTTTCGGAAAACCTACAAAGGAGAGGAGGCATATTATGTCTGCAGGACTTTTGGTAATGAAAATGGGCCCAGTAGGTCCACGTTTTATTATAGCCCCCCATATAACGGTACCTCCCTATATTCGGTATTTTGATGATTTTTGCTACATTTTTCACCGATTTTTTAAGTTTCACATTTGAATATTGCAATGGCTTATGACAAAAGTTACCTATGCCGGTCCATGTCGTCGTATAGACCCAAATATAACAGCTACATTCGGTATTTTTAAGATTTTAACAGAATTTTTAACGGATTTTATTGTTTTTGAGAATTTTCAAATTCGTTCCAAATGGTGAAGGGTATTCAAAGCTCGGCCAGGCCGAACTTACAGCTTTTTTACTAGTTGTTTTTCAAACCGCTTAGAAAAAAATTGTAATCAGCTGGTAGCTCTACCTTACCTTTTTATTGTACCATGGGTTTATTACTTTCAGACGTATATTATATACATATGTCAGATACGTCACAATTTCCGACGTGTCATACTGAATACCCTAAAATTGTACAAAATTGTTGCAAACTCAAAACGGGAAGTCATCCGTTTTGCAGAATAGAGTAAATACGATGAAGAATATTTTTGACAGATCTTTTTTCTTCTTGTAACTCTTTTCCTTTTTGAGTATCCAGTGTTTTGTTTTTGTCAGGCATTTTAAAAACATTTACAGCCTGTTCCACGATATCGAAAGAAAATTTCTGCGAACGAAAGATAGTCGCATCAGAATGCGTTCCACTAACATTCGTTCTTTTTTCGCTTAACCTTACATGACGAAGTGTTGCTAAATATACATTTAAAAAATTAATCACGAATTTAAAAAAAAAAAAACGGTCGGAATGACTGATTTAAACGCGAAAGCAATAAAAATACAACCATACGTAAGCTGGCACTCCCTGAACTGACAGTTCGGTAGTAAACAAACATTTGTGTTCTTAAAAAAAATGAATATTTCTGTGGCCCTATACTTTATGGATGCTGTGGAGGAGCTTCAAAATGTAACACGAAGGTATTTAAGAGATGCTTCGAATTTTTTTAAGTACCTAACAACCAGTAAGTATGATTGTATTTTTACATTTTTGAAAAAAAAAATTAAAAATGTATCTTCCTAGAATTTTGGTCAATTTTTGTGTGCCGAAGGAAGTTTTTCGGGTTCTTTTAGATATGCTAGAAGATAAATGGGTTCCCGTTGCAGAACAACCCATATACGCCCCAACCAGCAGCATTTAGAGAACGAGGCCCTAACTTCAACAGCGAAGTCTACAGTAAGCAGAACCATTGCTGAATGTCCGCAGATTTTTGAAAACCACATTTGCGGCCAATGGATAAGAAAAAATTGTAAAATTTGTAAAACTTACATATTTTTAATTAAAAAAATATATAATTCCAAAATTTGTTTAAATTATTATTTACGATGATGGTTTGATGTTCCATGTGTTGATGTTGGTTGGTTGGGAAATTGGTTTATTACGTTGGTGTTGTGGTTGGGTCTGCGTTTCTGCTGACTATTTTTTTGCAGTTTGTGTGTAGAGATCCCATCGCTACACACAATTTTTTCCAGTGGTCTTCAAGCGATTGCCTGCTGCTTCCCAAAATTGGCACTCCTCTGGCGAACTTAGGATTCTCCTCCATGTATTAAACTAGTGCCATCACTGATTACAATAGATTTGTAAACAAATATTTTAACAATGACATTTTGGAAAATTTGCATTAATGGTGTCACTGCGTATGCGTGTTGACAGAACCCACACGCCACCCAATACTCATTGAATAATTTCCCTTAGCTCCCTTTGTTTATCAACAATTAGCAGTGTATATTAAAAATAATGAAATTCCCATTCAAATAATCCGCTCTTAGTTCAAATGCCAAAATTGTGTTTTCAATATCCTTGTACATTTAAAAAAACGGGGGAGGGCTGTTCGGAATGGTGTCAAAACGTAAACGGGCATTAAATGTAAAACAAATCTTTCCGAGTCCTTGAAATAATACATTATAATTCCGTTTCGAAAACAAAATGTTACAAAACCACCAACAACACAATAACATGTTCGGTCATGCATTGCAGCTACATGAACATGAAAACGGAAGCAAATCGAATTGAATGGAAACGAATCGAATCGAATAGTAACGGCATTGCCTTACTATATCGAGTGCAGTCAAATAGAAAATGCAGCATAAATTGTATTGTTCAATTCATTTGGTTGTCTTTGACAACAACAGCAACAACAACAACGAAAAAACGATATTTTTGGCATTGTGCATACAGACATACATCAATAGCACCAACAACAACATTAGCAAGCGCCATGACATATTCCGCCAAAATGCCATAAACAATAACAACAATAACAACAACAGCAAAAAGGACAACATCAATTCGGTCACAGTCAGGAGTGAAAAAAGAGAACAAAACAAAAATTGAAAACAAAACTAACCGGGACATAATGGAAAACAAGTGAGGGAAAAAGAATCTCACGACTAATGTCAGTATGGGGTTTCGTGGCCGGATTGTGGAGATGTTTTTTTGTTTTATTGTTGTTGTTCTTGTTATTGCTGAGCGGTGGCTGGTGGGTGCCACTAGAAAACAATTGCAGAAATTGCATTGAATGAGTTTTTCATTTCCAAAAAGGATTTGTTTCTGAAATTGAATTCCTTTGCATTTCATGTTTTGTTTTTGTTTTCTATTTGCCATTCTACAGATCGCACACACACATACATACCACCAAATGCTAACCGCAAGAAGTTCCTTAGCGTTAATCCTGTGCAGAGAAAAGTCAAATAAATTAAAAAATTGGATTTCGTGGAGGGTGGACTGTCCCGTCATTGACTTGGCTCACAATAACGTGGCCAATTTTAAAAGGATTTTCGCTTAAGGTCAACGAGAAGTAGAATACAGAGGAACTTTAATGGATTGCACATTATTTATCCGAGTCTTTTGTTTTAAAGTTAATAGCATTACCACCACTACATTCGCAAAGCAAGGAATCGCAAAGGTGAGTTCAGACAGAAGAAGACATAGGTGGCGTATTTGAGTTTTCCACAGAAAGTTTTGAGCGTGGCAAAGGGCGTAAAATACGACCCAGACGTTCATAAGAAGTTCAGAATAGCCGCTGCTATCAGAGAAATTCCGCTGAATGCAACAGCAAGAATGTACTCTTTGAAGTCATGCTGGCTCAAAAAGGAAGTCCGTGGCTTGAAGACACATGTAGTCGACATAACATCCGAAT